GTTAAGTCTCTGCCCCAAAGGGAACATGAGATGAATGTAACATTCATGTTTGCTTATCACACATGCACATATACCCCCTTCATGACTATTAATAGCTCCCCTTTTGATCTGGTTAGGCTCTGTGTCCCCACCCATATCTCATCTCAAATTGTAATCCCCATGAGTCGAGGAAGGGAAGTGACTGGATCATGGGGGTAGTTTCCTCAATGCTGTTCTCATGATAGTGAGTTCCCATGAGATCTGATGGTTTTATAAATGGCAGTTTTTCCTGCACTCTCACTTCTCTCCTGCTGACTTGTGAAGATAGTGCCTGCTTCCCTTTCACCTTCTGCCATGATTGTAAGTTTCCTGAGGCCTCCCAGCCATGCAGAACTGTGAGTCAATTAAACCTCTTTCCTTTATAAATTATCCAGTCTGGCATAATTCTTAACAGCAGTGTCAGAACAGACTAGTACGGTAAATTCGTCCCACAGACAGTGGGGTGCTGCTATAAAGCTACCCAAAAATGTGGAAGCAACTTTGGAAATGGGTAACAGTCAGAGGTTAGAACCATCTGGAAAGCTCAGAAGAAGTTAGAAAAATGGGGGAAAGTTTGGAACTTCCTAGAGACTTGTTGAATGGTTTTGACCAAAATGCTGATAGTGATATGGACAATGAAGGAGGCTGAGGTGGTCTCAGCTAGAGATGAGGGACTAATTGGAAACTGGAGCAAAGGTGACTCTTGCTATGCTTTAGCAAAGACACTGGAGACATTTTGCCCCAGCATAGAGATCTGTGGAATTTTGAACTTGTGAGAGATGATTTAGGGTATCTGGTGGAAGAAATTTCTAAGTAGCAAAGCATTCAAGAGGTGACAGAGCATAAAAGTTTGGAAAATTTATAGGCTGACCATGTAGTAGAAAAGAAAACCCTATTTTCCGAGGAGAAATTCAAGCCAGCTACAGAAATTTGCATAAGTAAAGAGAAGTCGAATGTTAATCACCAAGGCAATGGGGAAAACGTCTCTGGGGCGTCAAGATCTCCATGGCAGTCCCTCCCATCAAAGGCCCAGAGGCCTAGGAGGAAAAAATAGTTTGGTGGGCCAGGATGGCCTGGGGCTTGCTGCTTGCTGCAGCCTTAGGACTTGGTACCCTGTGTCCCAGCCACTCCAGCTCCATCTAGGGCTGAAATGGGCCAAATTACAGTTTGGGTCATTGCTTCAGAAGGTGCAAGCCCACGCCCCTATTCTGGGTTCAAGTGGTGCCGGGTTATGCCTCCTCTGGCTCAGTCAAAACAATTTAATAAGGAAAGAATCGTCTTTCAACAAATGATCCTAGGTAAACTGAATATCCATATGCAAAAGAAAGAAATTCTACCTCTATCTTATGCCATACACAAAAATTAACTCAGAATGGATGAAAGATCTAAATATATTAGGTGCTAACACTATAAAATACCTAAAAGAAAACAAAGGTGTAAATTTTTGTGCCCTTGGATTAGGTGGTTGTTTTCTCAGATGTGACATAAGAAATCAAAGAAAAATAGATAACGAGGTCATTACAAAATTAAAATATTTTGTGCAGCAAAGGACACCATCAAGAATCTTGAAAGTTAAACCAGAATGGAAGAAAATTGTGTAAATTATATGTCTGTCTCATATCTAGAATATATAAACAATGATTACAACTCAATAAAAAAAGACAAATAACAATTAAAAATTATCAAATGATCTGAAAATAAGTTTCTCCAAAGAAAACATACAAATGACTAATAAGCACATGAAAATATGCTCAGTATCATTAGTCATAATGGAAATGCAAATCAAAGCACAATGAGAGGTCACGATACACCCACTAAGATGGATATAATAAAAAAGGCATATAATAACAATTGTTGGCAAGAATGTAGAGAAATTAGGACCTTCACACAGTGCTGAGGGGAATGTAAAATGGTGTAGTCCCTTTGGAAAATAGTCTGGCAGTTCCTCAAATGGTTGAACATAAAGTTAATATGTGATCTAGCAATTACACCACTACAAATATATGTAAAATAAATAAAAATATATGTCCACACAAAATCTGTACACAAATGCTCATCGCAGCATTATACATGATAGTTAAAAATGGAATCAGTTTAAATACCAATTAACTGAGGAATGGATAAACAAAATGTCATATATCCACACAATGACATATTATTCAGCAGTAAAAAGAATGAAGTAATGGCACATGCTACAATATGGATGAAGCTTGAAACCATTATGCTTAAGGAAAGACAGGCGATACAAAAGATCACATGTCATATGATTTCATTTATATGAAATATCCAGGATAAAGAAATGTATAGAGAAAGAAAGTAGATCAGTGGTTGCCTACGGTTAGTGGTGATGGGGAGGTGGGGGATGACAGGAAATGAGAAGTTAAAGCTGCATGGTTCAATATTTTTGGGGGGGCTTGAGTTAAATATTCTATAATTGATTGACATGTTGGTTACACAACTCTTTAAGTATATTTTTAAAACACTGATATCTAGAAGACTTTAAATGAATGAATTATGTTATTTGTGAATTATATCCTAATTTAGCTGTTTAAAAATTCTAATTACAAGAAGCAGAAATCAAAGTCATGTTTAACAACTCACTATTATGAGGCCTTGATTTTGAAAACTACCAATTTTAGAATTGAATCTACTCTGAAACTGTTCTTTGATTACTACTTGTTGCATCTCCTTCAGCATGAAATGAAACCTTTAAAAATTCAGTTGTAGAATCAACAAAATCAATGAGGTAGTCCAAACTCTTGTCTCACAGCACATCATTTAATATAGCCATCTGTTGTTGTTCTTCATCAGTCTCTCCTCTTTTTTGAACAACTTCCTTTGTAATCACAAATTTTGGGGGAGGGGGTAACCCTTTTCTTCATTCTCATTTAACTACATCCTATCTTCTTTTAAGTTGGTTTCCAGTTTTCCATATTTCTCAAAAATTGATCTACAACTCTAGTCTTCTAAGCTGCCATGGGCTGAATGTGTACACCCAAAACTCCTAGGTGGAATCCATAATCTTCAATGTGATGGTATTTGAAGATGGGGCCTTCTGGCAGGTAATCAGGTTGAGATGGGGTCATTAGTATGGAGCCCCCATGATGGGATTAATGCTCTTATGGAAAAAGGAAGAAGAGACATCAAATCTCACTCTGTCTCTTTGCATATACACGCCATGAAAAGGCGTTGAGAAGACGTGACTAGGAAGAAGACCCTCACCATAACCCAACAACCGTGCTGTCGCCCTGATTTCAGACTTCCAGTTTCCAGACATGAAAAATGTTTATTGGTTTAGTCTTCATCATTTTCAGATTCCTTTCTGTAAAGACTTCTTAGGTGTTTGCTATAGTTGTTTGTTTTACTCCATCTCCACTTTGCTCACTTAAAAATTACACATTCTTGGGTTTTAGGTTTAACTTTGGAAACTCTTTCCTTCTTTATCTTGCTTATCATGACCTTATTCAAAATTACAATATTCTTTTCAAGGTGCTTCCACCTATAAAGTTGTTTGCAGCTCAAGATCACACCTGGATTTATTGAGTGAATCAAGGTTGAAGTGTTTAGGGAAAAGAAAATGCTTTTTATCTGACCATCCTCACTGGTTAGTAATTCATTGACATTTAAGCCTGGGAATTATACATAAATAACAATACCTTGACTTCCTCTTCATTGAGTTATAAAATGTTAAGTTGAAAATGCCTGAAATGAGGAATACAGTTTTGAAAGAACCATTCTGAGGATGATGCTCTGGTTAATCAAACATTTTTACTAAGTTCATATATCATAGATAATGCATTGTGTCCTTTTATATACCTTTGGGGAGCTTCAATGTTGAATGATGATTGAATTTAACTTAGTGTCATCTGCATTTATTTATAAAAAGCCAATCGGGTACTTTTTATTTTCTTTCCAGACATGCAGACATCTCTTCGGCTTGTCTGAGTGGTTTCTCACACTGGCTTCCAAAATATGTCAGTTTCATCCCCATTGTAAAACTAAGCTACACACAGTTTCTCCTGTTAGACTCACATTGTCAATTTTTATCCAAATGGCTCAACACTCAGTAAATACTGAAAACGTGGAGAATAATGACAACCCAAGATATTCAGCTTCTTAGAAAGATGGTTCTATAAATATGAAATACTTAACCTTACCCAGAGAATTTGGCTAAGCCCTGCAGGAGATAAAGATGGAAGGAAGATTTCTGTCCTCCAGGGAGAGCATAATGTAGTAGAAAAATGACAGGATATGACAACAGGAGACCTAAACTCCTGACTAAAATCTGCCACTATTGTGACCCTGAACATGAAGTAGTAGGTGAAGTCATGTGATACCATTTCAAATTATTTATATAACAGTTGGAGAGCATGTGTCTGAGAATTAGAAAATGGTTTTAAAAATATAAGGGACTATTGTTTCTGATCTAGCAAGAGGCTTGACCAGGACCAAATTGCCTCTCACTTAAGGAGGCTTTTGATAAATCTAGTGACTACAGCTGAAGCTCTCTCTGGCTGTGACTCAGGAAGGCCCAGAACACAGCTTTGCCCACAAGAGTGCTGAAGTGGTTCTGACTTTGTGAGCCACTCTTCTGTGGCCCCTAGACTTTTGAGGCGGCAACCCTTACTGGGCGAGGCCCCCGGTAGAATGGGCTGCCAGCCACAGGTAAGCCAGCACAATCTGGATGCACAATACCTCGCAAATCAGGGATAAGAGACCTTGGCACCAGGAGTCTATAAGCTACACGGCTCCCAGGAAAGAGCCATTTGCCAGGGTCCTGTACGCTTCCAGCAGGACTAGAGACTCGGTAGCATTAACTCTTTCTTGCATCCAGGACCTAACTGGAGCAGGAGGCTAGTTCTTATGGGATGGAAAGGACCCCCAGGGACAGTTCCTAATTTGGCTAGGCTGAGACTTGGCAGGTAGAGGGAGGGGGATGGCTGGGCGTAGCTGTCACAAAGTCACCGGAAATGCATCTTTCATTTTCTGGTTGATTCCGGTTCAGGTCCACAGACCTCGACCCTAGAAGAGTGAGTCAGTGTCAGGTCTTCAAGAGGTGGAGGGATTAAATGGGGGAACTGATCTTCCAAGGCTCCCCAGATCTTGGAGCTTCACTCGCCAGACATCCCGCGCTTTCCTGACATCGCTTCCCCGACATCGCTTCCCCGAGTCGTGCAGCAGCGGAGAGCTTCGCTATCCAGAGCAAGCAGGGAGGCGTGGCCACAGAGGCTTAGTCAAGCAGAGGAAGAGGAAAGTGGCCTGGGGAAAGCCAGAGCTGACTGAAGGTAACCAAGAAGCGGATTTTCTCTTTAGATTCGATTGGCTAGATTCGATTGGCGATCCCCTGAGAAATATCGGCGGCTCAAGCCAGTTGCAGCCTTTAGGGCTGCTGCGTAGCGGGAAAATGGGGGCGGGGGGACGTGAAACAGTATTGTCCACAGCGAGGCCGCCCGGCCGCAGGCTCCTGCAGCCACTTTTAACCTATGGAAGCAACTTCTTTCTACCGGATGTACAAATATAACCCAGGGATGCTAGTGAAGCACACTCAAAGGCTGCCCGCGTTCAGAGTCCTTGTGGGCGTCCCTGTGGTTGATCTAGAAGGTGTAGTGAATCAGGATTGGGGATTTGGAGCAGTAATGTCTACCACCATGCCTAGGAAAATTTCCTGAGTTTTGATGGCTTATGAACACAACACCAATGAAAGGGTCATTTCAGCATTAAAGACAATGACTTCTGCTGACAAAAAATATAAGAAGTGTTCCTGTACCTCATGAGCCTGAATGGTCAGCAAGGAGCCAACCATTTTTTTTGAATACCTGTGGCATCCTTGAAAGAATTTTGTTGCTGTTTCTGCTGGATCACCTCAGGGAAAATCAGTTTTGAAGATATGTTAAGTCAGGAGAAAGGTTACCATTACTAGGACCCTTCCCATCTGTGAAGAACCTTAATCATCTCTCTCTCTCTCTCTCTTTCTTTCTTTCTTCCTTTCCTTCCTTCTTTTTTAACCACCTGACATTTATATACATGTAATGGAAGACCAGCTGTAAATTTTTCCAGTTAAAGTAATCAAAAAATGTAATACACAAGTACAAATCTGTGCAGTGCCCTTTATAAGTCTTTTGAAGAAGTACTATACCCTGCCACATCAAATGTTGATGATCTGCTTGGTTAGCAGGGGAACATTTGCTTACTTTTTCTCTAATGACTTTACTTCTACTCTGATCTTGGTGTCTCAGTTCCCTACCAGCACTGACACTGTATAAAAGGGAATATTAAAAGTTCCATTTAGTAAACTCTTCAATCCAAATGAGATAAAGGGGTCTGGAAATGATTTTTCCCCATTCTAAAGAAAAATGTTTGCAATGATCTGCTAAAGTTTAGAGGAACTGAAACAGGCCCTATTTGCCAATATAGGACAGGAAACACACAGATGAACTATTGGATAATCTCAAAAGCTCCTTTTGGCCAATCGGTGGCAGTTTTCTTACCCAGCAATCTTTCCTTAACTATTAAAAAAAACAGGAAAGATATTAATTGACATTTGTCTTCTCTTAGCTGTGGTTTGTTTCAAACTTAAGAAATAAAGAAAAAGAGAGAAACTTACCTCCTGAGTAATCTAACATCATGAGTGTTCTGATTCTTGGCAGTTGATTTTAAAGGAGAAGCCAGACAGTAACTTTTCTCTTCATTTTCCTCTGTTAATGAATAGCAAGTAAATATGTGTCATGTGGTTTTCTTCTTGACATGTACTTTTCTTCTGCTCTCCCTCAGTGCTCCTGGGAAGAACAATTCATTCATTTGCTACCAAACCTGATGAACCCTCATTTGTCAAAGGTGGCACCAGGTGGGTGTCAGTGTCACACACAGGAGTAAAACTGTTCCTAGAGCAAATGATGATGAGAGAGCTGAAGGCGGATGCATGCTCGAGCCGCCAGATGAGGGCTATATGGGACACTAGTGGGTCTGTGAAAGAGAACCCCAGTCAGAGTACGAAATACAGCACACAAATAGAGAGTCTTGGTCCTGAGAGCGCTTGCAGGCACTTCTGGAGCTTTCGTTATCATGAAGCAACTGGACCGCTTGAGACTATCAGCCAACTTCAGAAATTATGCCATCAGTGGCTGAGGCCAGAGATCCACTCAAAAGAGCAGATCTTGGAGATGCTGGTGTTAGAGCAATTCCTGAGCATTCTGCCAAAGGAGACCCAGAACTGGGTGCAGAAGCATCATCCACAGAATGTCAAACAGGCTCTGGTCCTGGTGGAATTCTTCCAGAGGAAGCCTGATGGAACAAAGAATGAGGTAAGAAGAAATATTCCTTACATGTACAATGAAATAGGATAAAAGTGGATATATCAGGGTGGAGGAGTTATCAGAGAATGAGATGGATTAGGTCGCTCTTCTGTTGCTCCTTTAGGACAGTTAGGAAGGATCTGAAATGACATACATGCAGCAATAGTCAGTCCACAGGTTTCAAAATTCCTGGCAGAGACTTTACGCCTCTTAGAGAAAAGAAATGCATTTTGTCTTCTTTAGAGCCAGGGTGAATTGACCATGGTGGGCCTAGTCTGTCATGGGCAAGGAGAAAAGAGTTGAGTTCTTAGAAACAGAGAAATAAAGGGCAAGAAAGAGTTGGGAAAGGGGAGAAGATCCACAAGATGGGCAGCACTTACAGAGTCCAAAGGAGAGAGAGGGTAGCAAACAGAAGTATAAATCAAGTTGTTCTGCAAAGAAACAGAACAAAATGGAAAGGAAAAAAGGAAACAAGGATATAGAAAGAAGACAATTGCCAAAAGAGAAGTGGAAGGAATCAGGATGCTGAGGGGTAGTATCTTCTGTAACAGGAGCATACATTTCTGGACTGGGAGGAAAGAGCCTCCATTGCCCTCACTTAGTGGCTTGTAATTGGCCCTGCTAGTGAATGGGAAACCAAGGTTTGCCCTTGAAAGGTGGCAGCACACTTCCTTTTTTTAGGAGCCCACCTTGAAAATTCCAGGGCAGGGCATATTTTTGGTGTCTTATTACTACCAAATCAGGTGAAGAGAGATTGGAGCCCAACTTTTCTCCCCATTTATTCTTCCATCCTTCTCCTTACCCTGTGAAATCTTTCCTGGAGGATTGGAAACTGGCTAACAGGAAAGCCATCTTTACTCAGTTCCTTTTATTTTACAGGAAACTAAAAGATAGAAATGCACTAAAACAAGGATCCAAGTCAAGACAGCAAACCAGTGAAAGTTCCCCAGCAGGGGAACACGCTGCCTGCCCAACTTTGCTAGCAGCTTGATCCAGGGCCCTGTGCATTGCCACGGGGTTGGGGGTGGGGGTCTGGTGTAGTCAACATTTTCTATTTTATCCTAATTATCCCAGATTTTGAGTATCATTCTTTATGAAAACATAGTGGTGCAATACCTCTTCAGTCTTTTTATTACTTCTCTAATGTCATGCACTCCCCAAATATGAGCTCTACTCTTGTTCTTCCGTCCACCACCACCCTGAAACCGAAAGTAAGTTCTGTGCTAATGAGGATGGGGATTATTTCTAGGTCACAGTCCATGAGTTGGGAAAGGAGGCAGTGCTCTTGGGAGGAACGGCAGTGGCCCCAGGCTTCAAGTGGAAGCCAGCAGAGCCCCAACCAACGGGTGTGTTCCAGAAAGAATATTGGAATACATACTGGGTACTACAAGAACAGCTGGGCTGGAACACTCACAAAGAAACCCAGCCTGTATATGAAAGAGGTAAGGAGCTTCATCATAATTCTCTTCTCCTGGGAGCCATGGTGGTAATTAGTTCACCTAGAATGTCGTGGGAATTTTCCAGGTGCCCAGCCATGCTAGCAGCTGTGGTGTCTCCCAGGTGGGAGTACAGTAGGTCAATGGTGGTTGAAGGTGGGGATCAGCCTAGGGGACAGAAATATCCAAATCACGGAATCCTGATATTCACACTATAGACTATACTCCTTTGAAACTTGAGAGAAGAGAAGAAGATGGAACAGGGACAGGTGGGGTCACCTCCCCCCTCATAAGTTGAAGGAGAAATTGGGGTCAGACATGGGCTCTCAGTGGCAGAATGTGATTAAAATTGTGCACTCGGAAAGAATAATAAAAGACAAAAGTCTTCCACATTATCTACTGTACACTGAAGGACCTAAGCCTTTCATTTTCAAACCTTCAGTTCTTGCTCAGCTTATATTATGAGAGGAAAACTGAATAGATTTCCTTTGATTAATTTCTCTCATGAACTGGGGAATTGGTTGTATGAGTGGTGGATATTTGGTTCTTATCTACAATGAGATGGCCACTTCTGGGCACCACAAACACACTTGTCAATGTGACCCATCTTTATTGAAGGCATCCTGATGTTCTGTATTTTAGAAATCAGCTCGGAATGTTTGTAAATAGGAAAGAGAAATTTTCCCTGGCTCTTTTCCACCCACAGCTGTGCATGATCAACAGATGTTAGCCCTTTCTGAGCAGAAAAGCACCAAAGACTGGAAGATGGCATCTGAATTCATCCTGCCTGCATCCCAGGTGAGCTGTACTTTCTGGTTTTTTCAGGTGATTTGACCGTGGCCTTGCCTCTGCTTGTCCCAACTGCCTGGGACACATATTGTCCAGCAGGTGCTTTGAGGCATGTTAGCCCTAGATATTCTCTAGGCAACTAGGCTTGGCACAGAGGGAAGTGGGCACCTCCCAGGCGATTTACCGATCCTCTTTGCTCCTTCCTTTCTGCCTTCTCACTTTTTTCTCTAAATCTTGTACTGTTAACATCTTCAGCACCTGGCCTACCACGTAATTCAGAAATGGGTGGTAGCACAACTTCTGAAGTGGCAAGTACTAAACTATAGCCCATTCTCTTCTTTAGAGTTTGTTGACATTTGAAGACGTGGCTGTGTATTTTTCTGAGGAAGAATGGCAATTATTGGATCCTCCTGAGAAGACTCTCTACAATGACGTAATGCAGGATATCTATGAGACTGTCATCTCTCTAGGTAAAGATTCTTCTTTCCCTTTGTGTAGAAGTTAAGTAATATGTTATGTCCTCTGTTTATGGAAAATGCACCCCTGTGAGAGAGTCCCATTGTTCCAACAGCTGGCTGATCCTCAACTTGATGATGTGGGGGAAATAAAGGGGTTATCAGGATCCCCTGGAGAGCTTTTTATAAATACATGTCTCACTTCTGCATTCTGAATAGAACTATTTTATTTTGACTGTGAAAGATTTTACTTTTTTAAAACTTTCATCTAAACACACCCTTTTCTAAAAAACATAAAAGCATGCACATAAATGGCGTTCTTGAAAATTACTACAGAAAAATTAATAACTAATCTTTAAATCAGTAATAATAATACAAACAAAAGTTTAAATGATATGTGGAAAGATTTACAGGTAGGAATAGGGCTCTTAGTTTAGAAAATAATAATTTAAGTCAATAACAATAAAAGTTAAGGAAAATCTTCTAATTTCCAAACATTTTGATACCATTTTCTTCTAACTACCACATTTTGTAGACGTTTTGTGAGAAGAATGTTGGTGTAGTCCTAAGAAATATAACATTCAAGTGATCCTATGCAGGTCTTCTGCCATAGGATATATTGTTCCGTGACCGAAAATTGTGATTTGGTTCCTAGAACGTAACTCTTGCTCTAAGATGATACTTAATGTATAGCTCCAGTCCTGATGAATTAAGCCTGTATTTTACTGGTTTGAGAAGGTGAATTGTTTTTCCTTTTTTTGCATCAGAGTCTCATTCTGTCACCCAGATTGGAGTCCAGTGGTGCAATTGTAGCTCACTGCAATCTCTGCTTTCCAGGCTCAAGCATTTTTTCTGCCTCAGCATCCCGGGTAGCTGAGACTACAGGCGTGTGCCACCACACCTAGCTAATTTTTGTATTTTTATTAGAGACATGATTTCACCATGTTGGCTAGGTTGGCCTCAAACTCCTGACCTCAAGTGATTACCTACTTTGGCCTCCCAAAGTGCTGGGATTACAGGTGTGAGCCACCACGACTGGCCTGAGAAGGTGAATTTCTTGCCTTAGACAAATGCAAAATGCCTCTGCAGTAGCCAGTGAAGCCCCCTTACAAGGGCTTCAAGAATTCAACTTTGAAACAGGGCAGCATGGGCTGGCTCTGCATTTCTTCACAGCAAGTCTATGTGGAAGCCACTGAGCAGGACCACTAATAGGAATCTGAAGGAAAATGGCTGCTACAGTGAATCAGAGTCACAATTTTAACTTCACTCTCATATTTTATACATTTTTGTGTGTAGAGTACAGGGTGTGCATATTAAACAATTTCAATAGATATTAGAAATGTCAATTATTTTGCAAATATAAAGTGAGTAAAATCAGCTAATAATGCAATCCAGTAAAACACGTGTTAAACGAAGCTTTTTCCACAGGGACACTTTTTACTCTTTCCTTTGAACATCTTGATACTTAAATACATTTTCTTTCATTGACTTGCAGAAATTAAGCAAAAGTGAACTATTACCTAGCTGCACAATAGTAAATAGTAATGAGTTTGGAGCTGTTAAGTTGTAATAAAAAGAAAATAACAAATATAGTGAAATATGCTACAAATTATTGCTTAAAAATGCAGCCATCTGAATTACAAAGTACACAGTCCTACTAGTCTTCTGAAGTTGTTATTAGTTCATGAAAAATATGAAGTAGAGCAGAAACTCCATTTAGCTTTTACCTTTTCAAAAGCTCTAGTGCTAAAGTTATATAATCATGTATGTTTGCCTAAGACCAACTGAATATTGACACTAGTCACAAATTCTATTTTATCTAATGTTCAATCAGCAAGCCTTTATTTATACTTCTTATTACATTCAGGAAACAATAAGCCTACCCAGGCAGCCTTCTGTTGATAGTCGCCTTCTTCTGTTGGGTGTGGGGATGTAAGCACCCTGCTATGTTGTTTTTCTAGTTCTGGAATCCCAAACCAGTTTGCCTTTTGCTTACCATTTTTAGAATTTTTGTTTTTTATCTCATATTATTTAATGGGTTTCTTGTTGTGCCTATCAGGGAGGATCAAGGAAAAATGGGTCTATGCCATTTTGTACAGACTGGACCAGAAATCACTTGTTCCTGCATTTTCTAAAAAGCAATCATCATGGACTTTTCTCTCCATTTATGTAGCTTTCTTGCACTGGGACACAAATGGCTGATTATTCTGTTTATTCTAACAGGGTTAAAGCTAAAAAGTGACACTGGAAATGATCATCCTGTATCTGTTTCTACATCAGAAATGCAAACACCAGGCTGCAAAGTATCAGAAAACACCAGAAGGAAAATTGCCCAGAAAACAATGGGCAGGGAGAATCATGGTGATACACACAGGGTGCAGAAATGGCATCGAGCTTTTCCAAGGAAGAAAAGAAAGAAACTTGCAACTTGTAAGCAAGAGCTTCCAAAACTTATGGATCTTCCCAGGAAAGGCCCCACAGGGGAGAAACCTTTTAAATGTCAGGAATGTGGGAAAAGCTTCAGAGTTAGCTCTGATCTTATTAAGCACCAGAGAATTCACACTGGAGAGAAACCCTATAAATGTCAACAATGTGACAGGAGGTTTAGATGGAGTTCAGATCTTAATAAGCACTTCATGACCCATCAAGGAATAAAACCATATAGATGCTCATGGTGTGGGAAGAGCTTTAGTCATAACACAAATCTACACACACACCAAAGAATTCACACAGGAGAGAAGCCCTTTAAATGTCATGAATGTGGAAAAAGATTCATTCAGAACTCCCACCTTATTAAACACCAGAGAACTCACACAGGTGAACAGCCTTATACATGTAGCATATGCAAGAGAAACTTTAGTAGGCGGTCGAGCCTTCTTAGACACCAGAAACTCCACAGAAGAAGGGAAGCATGTCTAGTGTCTCCAAACTGAGGAAAGTTACCATGTAGAGCTTCACCTTAGAAGTGATGAAAGAATACAAAATTATGAGGCACTCAATGATAAAAATGTGTCATCAGTAGAACATTTGGGAAGTGTACATGCTACACTTAACAAAAAGGAATCTAAGCTGTCTGTCTTATTCAGTATTGCATCTTCTGTGCCTAGCATAAGAGTGATACATAAGGAGTACTTTACAAATAAAATAAATGAAAGTGTAGTGATGAGATATCTTTAGCTATCTATGTACATGTGTGTATCTGTTATTCAAAGTTTCCCCACCCCCAGTCATCTAACTTTTTCAGGTATCAGATATATGATGGTCAAGGCTTTTAGTCTCGTTCTTTATTCTTTGTCAGAAGAGATAGAAAATAAGAGTACACCTAAAGTAAAGTAAATAAATTAAAAATAATTCAAGCACACACACACACACACACACACACACACACACACACACACACGAGTACTTGGGCCCTCAGAGATAATTGCTAAGTTAGGGACAGTTTCAGTAGTTACCATTCTATCTACATGAACAATCAAGGCTGGGACCCAGGGAAATTTACTCTGTAACAGAAAGAGAGGATTCAATGTTTGCCCTGGAAGAAGTCTCCCATTCTCATTGCTTCTGTCCTGAGTATCCACTACCACAATGTCTTCTGTCAAGGACTTATAAGTAGCAAGGGAAGGTCTGAATGTAAGGACAGACCTAGGGACCTTGATATCTCTTCTCTTGCTGACATTGTCAACATAGACATATACAATGAAATGATGAGGGAGAAAGTCTTGGCCCTCATCCAGCTATCTGTTTCTTTGCATAAAGCACAAATAAGTGGCAAATGTTCTTTTTCTGACTTTCACTATGTGGACTGGACAGAGGCTTTCAAACTGGTGCCATACTACTGCAGGACCTAAAGGGAGGCCTGTCTTTATGGCTGATCAACTACAACCCTATGTATCTGAATACTCTGCAAGAAGGCCTGGAAATTTTGCAAAACTGATTTACTGAGAACGGCAAGGAGAACCTTGTGACCTTTTAGCTTTAGTGCACAGCTGATGCCAGGAGGGAACATCCTAAAGTGTTAGAGCAAAGTAAGGCATGTGGCTTAGAGTGATGACCCCAGTCAAAGTCAGGCCAGATGGAAATTGTTTTCTGATGTTACTGGTTTTCTTCTCTTCCCTATTGGCCAAAGTGACTATCTCTTAAGAGAAGATGATGTGATGTCAAGGGAGGTTGGAAGGCATAGATTTACATCTATGTCAGATCATGGTTTATAATGTTGGCCAAGGCTTATTTATATGTTTATTTATTATTTAATAAAAGTGTACTTTGTAATGAAAATGACATGTTTCATGTTAAATTTAGATAATAAACCAAACTTTGTTACCACATCACCTAGAAATGGCCATGTTCACTTTTTTGAAATGGATGTCTTCAGATATTTTTTTCTGAAAGAGACCAAAAGACCCTTTCTAAGCATGCTTTCAAATTTGTAAAATGAAGATTATAATTCCTACTTCTTAGCACTACCGTGAGGATTAAATGCCCACATGTCAGCATGCCTGACACAGTGATTGGCCACAGTAGGTGTTCCCTAAACATTTGGAACTTTCTTCGTCCTTTCTTCAGCTACCTATTTAGAAAATAAAATAAGCTTTGTCTACTTGTCCAGCTTTTAAGCATCCTTCATTCATGAGTTTTTTATCATTTTTAGTTGGTATTAGGATCACTGATGATGGTCAGCATGGTAGCCTTCTGGCATGACATTCATTCTCTTATAGAGGTGCTCCTCTCTAGTCAGCCTGAAACAATACACTGATGTTCCAGGTCAACTAGGTATACTGCTCATGTGTAACAAAACTGAAATATACTAGAAACCACAAACTTGAGATTCCTGAAAATGGAGGGGAGGTGGTGGCTAGGGATGGAACTTTTGTGGACAGTATTTATGCTATTAGGTACATCCTCAAGCCAATGAAGTAGAAATGAAAGAGGAAAGAGGTGACTACATAGAATGGCCACTAAAATGAATGAAAGTGCTGAGCCAAAAGTAAGAAGTAACCTGGGAGGAAAGGATTTCATTATATTCCCAAAGGTGTGGCGACTATGACTGTCCCATCATTGCCCCACCAGAATGATCTGAGATTGGGCCCTTGAAACTAAAAGGGGAAATTCAACTTCATGCAGAGGTCTCCATTCTCTTTGTGTGAATCCATGTTTGCTAGCATCCTGGATAGCTCTATCATACCACCATTCAAAAATAAATTTATTCATGTAGCTTTTAGAAAGAAGGGAGGTTAACTAAAAAAATCATGGCTGTACTAGATCAATTGACCCAGCAGTTATTGTACACACAAGAATCATCAAGTTCCCCAAAACAAGTCAACAAAAGAACACGCTATTTTCCCAAAGCTGCTTACCCCTGTTATAAAACCTGTTAGCTTCAAAGCTTATCGTACATGTCTTCAACTACGCTGGCATCGTTACTAGCAGGGTTTGAGAGCAGGAAATATGGGTTCTATTTTAGAGATCAATTCTTTAAGGCAAGTGGCAGGAAGTGATTGCGTTTAGATGTGTCTGAGCAGAAACAGAAAATTGAGATTTGTTATTCCAAGTTCAGATACTCCACCATCATTTGAATACAAGGGCTCCAGGAAAAAGCACATTCTCATCCCTGAGGTTGTGGAACAGGATCTAGAAATCAGTGCTCCTGGCTGACTCATTAGTGCCCAGTCTGCCCTTTCACCCCTCTGACACAGTCTCCTAGGGCCACATTACCCATGCATCCTGACTACTCATGTCATCACTTGCCAACTCAGAAAAAGAAATGTATGTCCATGAAGACATGGGCAGTAAGGAAATAAATGGCAAAATGAGATAAAGGGAAGAGATATCATTCTTTTGCATCTCTGCCCACCACCTCCTCAGTACATGGCTAAAAGACATGAGTTCCATTGCCTTTCTGAGGACACAAGAGAAAGACAGCATAAAAAAGCTCAGGAACTGGAGAAATGGACAGATTATTTATTCATGAGACAGAGTGAAGAGACAGAATGCTCCAACTCTAGATCCCACAGGCAGAGATGGAACTGAAGATCTGAACCAAGTGTGACAGGGTATGAATTCATTTTCCAGTCTCTGTGCTTCCAGAGAAGATGAGCTGAGCAGAGAAATACAAGAAAATGTCTGGGTGAACAAAGGACAGCAGGCTTCTTTCACTTCTGTGCATTTGTGAGGACTGAGATTGGAAGTCAGGGACTCAGGGAGCAGAGTGTCATTGCTTGCTGTATCTGAGACACAAGAACACGTGAGTGGGTCAAGCCAATCCTGTGCCTGACTCAGGTTTCCACTTTTTCCCTCCCAGCAGACAATGACATGGCTTCTACCATGGGCCTTGTTGGGTTCCTTCTAGCTCCTTCTCCACTCCCAAGAAGGCTCTTCCTCCTTTGTTGCCTTGTTCCATCTGCAACAGGCCAATCCTGCTTGTGCAGCTTTGCCACTTCCATTCTTTCAGGGAAGGAGAGGAGGAGGGGCCCAGAGACAGAGAGTATTGAGTGTTACTGTGTCCCACTGTTCACAGAAAAATGGGCACAATAACTGAGAATGGCCAGGCAGGACTGGGGAGAAAAGAATAAACAAAATGGAATCATGGCCTAATCTTTTGTCAAGTAATTTAAAGGCTCTCCTTGCTACCTCCTCTTTATTCCTTGAAAAACACTAAATAGCAGGTAGGTGGGAATGGTGATGACCATGTTGGGGAGGAAGCTGTTCCTCATTTGAAGGAGAGGGCAGCTTACAAAGGTCCATTCCTTGCTCAACAGTGAAGCCATCCCATTCTCATTCTTGTTTACTTTGCCTTCCTCTTCTCCCTCCATGCTGCCTGCTCCTTCCTACCATTGTGGGTTCAGACATGGGACACTGGGGTGGAAGAAGGGACAGGGAGCCAAGTAGCAGCAATCATGAGATATAAGGGGAGAGGATAGGAGCCATGTTTGAGAGCAGCAGAGGGACAATATAGCCCTTAGATCTGGACAACCCAGCAAAAGAGGGGAGGGAAGGAGGCCAGGTCAGTTTAAAAAGCAGTTCTGCTCCAGGGCTGGGAGATAGGGAGGAAGTAGGAAGGAGAAACTATGCAATGCCAAGAAAGATTTCCCTTGTCCCTCCTCAGGCTCTGGGTATCTCAGTGTGAGACTTGGGATGATTAGTTGACCATAAATGTATGATTTTGGTGGCTGGCAAGATGGCCGAATAGGAACAGCTCCAGTCTGAAGCTCCCGGTGAGATCAACACAGAAGGCAGGTGATTTCTGCATTTCCAACCGAGGTACCCGGCTCATCTCAATGCCCACAGAGGGTAAGCCGAAGCAGGATGGGGTGTCACCTCACCAGAGAAGCACAAGGGATCAGGGAACTCACTCCCCTAGCCAAGGGAAGCTGTGCCACAAGGGACAGTGCATTCCTGCCCAAATACTATGCTTTTCCCATGGTCATCCCAACCTGCAGACCAGGAGATTCCCTCAGGTGCCTACATCACCAGAGCCCTGGGTTTCAAACATAAAACTGGACAGCCATTTGGGCAGACACCAAGCTAGCTGCAGGAGTTTTTTTTTTTGCATACCCCAGTGGCACCTGAAATTCCAGAAAGACAGAACCATTCACTTCCCTGGAAAGGGGGCTGAAGCCAGGGAGCCAAGTGCTCTAGCTCAGTGAATCTCACCCACATGCAGCTCAGCAAGCTAAGATCCACTGGCTTGAAATTCTCGTTGCCAGCACAGCAGTCTGAAGTTGACCTGGGAGACTCCAGCTTGATGGAGGGAGGGGCATCCACCATTACTGAGGCTTGAGTAGGTGGTTTTCTCTTTGCTGTTCTGCAGCATCCACTGGTGATACCAGGCAAACAGGGCCTGGAGTGGACCTCTAGCAGTCTCCAGCAGACCTGCAGCAGAGGAGCCTGACTGCTAGAAGGAAAACTAACAAACAGGAAGGAATAGCATCAATATCAACAAAAAGGACGTCCATACAGAAACCCCATCCAAAGGTCACCAACATCAAAACCAAAGGTAGATAAATCCAAGAATATGAGGAAAAACCAGCGCAAAAAGGCTGAAAATTCCAAAAACCAGAACGCCTCTCTCTCTTATCCTTAGTAACCTAAAACTGTAGTGAAACCCTAAAAAGAAGAAACCTTGAACTATCAGATATGAGCATTTATAGATAAGAACAATTCCATGATTTTAGAAACATATTTATCCATATCACAACCCTTTCCTTATTGGAAATGATCCAGATATTAAATGACTATCAAAAATAATTTTAAGATTTTAATTTATGCCAAAGTTTGCCTAAAACATTTATCCCATTCTCTGTACACAATTCTTTCACTTTTAACAGTTTGTCTAGATCACCTCTGTAAATTGAGATATTAGACATTATCATTTAAAGTTAGCTATTTCCTTGTTAACCATGTTTTTAATAAACAGTGAGCATCACTTAGGTGCTCACATAAACCTAAGTAAGAGCCTCAAAGTTAAATAATAGATATTTTTGCCAATAACTCAGAAAATTTAACTAACATTAAACTGCTCTCATTTGTCAAAAAAGGGGAACATGCAAGCCAACATCATTTTGTTTTGGCTGGGTTTATGGTTTTATTACCTTTTATGCCAAACCCTCACACCTCAAAATATCTAGCAGAGACAAATATAAAAATCTAAACAAAAATTTATTCTGACAATTCTGAAGGCATTTCTATTTTTATTTTACCAACAATTTAAAAACCAGCTTGTTTAATAAAGTTACACTTCAGTTACATGAACTTGAAAATTGCTTAGACTTAGTTAATTTATGAGCGCTCTTTTACTTATAAGCCAATTTGGAAGAAAAAGCATATAGTTATAAGTGTACATACAAATAAATGTATCTAGACATGCATATACACACACAAACATTCAATAGCTTTTAGCTTGGAACCCTAGCCATGAGATAGCAATACAAGCTCACCGAGTTTACTTTGTTTGCCCCAGTAGGTAATCCAATGAAGGCTGTGAACCAAAATTTTGGGTAAAGCAGATTCCATGGCAGTTTGATTTTTAAAGGCCAAACTTCCCCATACTCCAAAGAACACTGGGGTCAAACGGCACCAAAGGAGAACATCACATACTAATTAGGCCTGACCCTGCTTAGAACAGCAGCACCAAAGCCTAGATACATGCAAACTCCAGATTCCAAACAATTTTGGGGCCAAACAGTATTGCAACTGTAAGAGAAAATTCTAAGGAGGGCTTAGTACTAGGCCTCAGAACTTCTGCCCAGGGGATCCCCTTTGGAGAAGCTGAGGTCCAGAAGATCCCCTGGAGCATCACTTTTTGGAGTCCAGTTTTAGAGTGTCAGACGTC